TAGATTCCAGGATTTCTGGTACACACACCAGCCCTCCCTGTTGTTCAGCCATGTTCTTTACATGTCCTTTCTCTCTAGGAGTCTGAAATCAACACCAGGCAAGGGGTTCTCATTTAATTTCTGTTGCTATGATAAAATACCTTGACAAAAAGCAACTAAAGGTAGCTGGGTGTGTTGGCACACACCTTTAATCTTAGCACTCAGGAGGTAGAGGTAGGTGGATCTCTCTGAGATAGAGGTCAGCCTGGTCTACATAGCAAGTTCCAGGCCAGCTGGGGCTACAGGGAGACCCCATGTCTCAAAAAATTTCTCTGGCTCAGATGTGTTGTATAAGATGGATGGGATTGATCATTTGCAAATAAAAGATGCATAGTGGGGTGGGGGTGGTAGGGTGAGGGCGGAAATCAGGGAGGAGGGCTGCATATGATCAATTCATTGTATAAAATTTTTGAATTCATAAAATTTCTTTTTTAAAAAATATTAATTTTTTAAAAAAATTTAGTGTATGAGTGTATTGTCTGCATGCGTGTAAGGGCACCTGTGTTGTAGAGTGCCTGTAGAGGTCAGAAGAAGGTGTTAAGAGTCCCCTGAAACTGGAGTGGTTAGCACCATGTGGGTGCTGGGACTTGTACCTGGGTCTTCAAGAACAACTGGTGCTCTTAACTGCTGAGCCACCTCTCCAGTCCCCAAATCAATAAAATTTCTATTAAACAAAAAACCAAACAAAACACAACAAAAAAAGGCCACTTAGGGGAAAAGGAGACTTATTTTGACTTACAATTCCAGATTACAGTTTATCACTGTAGGAAGTCAAGGATGGAACTTCAAACAGTCGTATCCACAGAGAGAAATGAATGCATGCGTGCTCACTTGCTTGCTGGAGTTCTCCACTTTTATACAAAGCAGGACTTCCTGCCCAAGGTGCTGCCCACAGTGGGCTGGGTCCTCCCACATCAATTAAGACAATTCCCCATAGACGTGCCAGAGGCCATCCTAGCACATAATCACTCACTCTGTCTTCCCAGCTGGTTCTACTAGTTCTACTGGTTGCATCAGATTGGCAATTAAAGCTAACCTTCACATACAGCAGATTTATAAAACTGTAGGATGGCAGCAATGAAATCCCATTTTGATATCTAAGGCATCGTCTACAATTAAAGAACCATTTCTTGGCCCAAAGAATAAACAATGAAACCATATTATATTACAAATTTTGAATTTCGTTATTATTTTATGTGTATGTGTGTGCATGTTGGGGTGTGTGCCATGGCGCATGTGTGGCAGTCAAAAGACAACTTTGTGGAATTGGGTTTTCTCTGCACTTTGGTGTGGGTTCCCATGTTGAATTGAGTTCACCAGGCTTGTGTGGGAAGACGAGCCACCTGACCAGCCCATAAAAAAATATAGTAACTCATTTGTAGCACAAAACTGAAAAACTTAAAGGTCTACACTTAAATAGCTACCTAAGAATTTCCAAATTGAGCCCCAAAACAGTTTCTAAAACAATCTTTTTTTTTTTCTGGTCTTTTTGAGACAGGGTCTCCCTGTAGTCCCAGCTGTCCTGGAACTTACTATGTAGACCAGGCTGGCCTTGAACTCACAAAGATCCACCTGCCTCTGCCTCCTGAGTGCTGGGATTAAAGGCGTGTGCTACTGGGCCCGGCTTTTTTTGGTCTTTTTGAGACAGGGTCTCTCTGTTGTCCCAACTGTTCTAGAACTTGCTAGGTAGACCAGACTGACCTTGATCTCACAGAGATCCACCTGCCTCTGCCTCCCAAGTGTAGGATTAAAGGTCTGTGCCACCACGCCCAGCTTCTACAACAATCTTTTAAAAAATTAGTATGACCACCATTTTTTGTGTGCATATGTGTTGCATGTGTGCGGTATATGATGTGTGTTGCACGTGTGAGATGTATGAACATGTGTGCCAGCGCTGGTGTCCATTCATTTGCATGCATGTAGAAGCCAGAGGAGGATGTCAGGTGCTCTACTCTGTTGCTTTCCACCCACTCTGTTGAGAAGGCCTCACTAAGTCTGGAGCTAGGCTTGCAGCTGGCCAGTCCCAATGACCCCTCTGTCTAAGCCCCCCCATAGCATCGGGGTTAAAGTATACATGGCCATGTTCATCTGGCTTTTTCTTTATATGGATGCCAGGGATTCAAACTCACATCTTTATGCTTGCACAACAAACGCTCTGACTCACTGAGCCATCTCCCCAGTCCCATGACCACCTATTGAATCATCTTAGAAACCACCTTAAAACTAAAGTTTCCAAGTTATGCTATTGCCTATGTTTTTATTTATATCCAAGTCAGTACTATGTACATGACATATCCATGTAAAGGCTGGATGACCTTGTGGCATGTGTCTTAGTATAAATGAAGGTTTTCCTGGCAGTTAGAAGAGAGAAAATTGACAAGAAGACCAAGTCATCATATTCTACACTGAAGTGCATGTATGGTCAAGTGTACAAAGAATCTACACCCTAACAGTCAGTACCATTTTCACATTGTAAATAGTGAGTCCAGGTTACCATAGTGTAGTGGCTATCTGACCTTTACATTGTAAGTAATCTGTTTTTAGTAAGGCAGTATCGTTGAACAAATTACATTATTTTAGGATTTTTTTTGGTTGTTCTGTTTGTTTGTCTGAGACAGGGTCTCACTCTGTAGCCCTGGCTAGCCTGCAGCTTGCTATATAGCCCAGGCTTTATAGCCGGCCTTCAACTTGCACCAATCTTCTTGCTTCAGCCTCTTGAGTGCCAGGGTTAAAGGCATGTGCCACTGTGCCCGGCTTAGAACAGTATTTATATTTTTATTGTGTTATGTTTTCACTTGAAATTTGCTTTTTAATGTTTTCATAAGTTTAAATCTAAGAAATTTATAGTCTCCTTCACATTTGTCTTCTGTCCTTGCTAGTTTTTGTCAACTTGACACAAACTAGAGTCATCTGGGAAGAGTAAACCTCAACTAAGGAATTTCCTCCATCAAACTGGCCTGTGGGCACGTCTGTGAGGACATGTCTGTGAGGTGTTTTCTTAATTGTTCCTTGATGTAGGAGGACCTAGCCCATTGAAGGCAGTGCCATCCCTGGGCAGGTGGGGTTGGGCTATATTAAAAAGTAGCTGAGTAAGCCAGGGGAAGCAAGCTGGTAAAGCAGCTTTCTTCCACAGTCTCTGCTTCAGTTCCTGCTTCTACGTTCCTGCTTTGGTGTCCCTGATGATGGACTGTGAGCTGTAAGCCAAATACAGTCTTTTATCATAGCAACAGAGACCAAACTAGAACACCTACATTAAATAATATTACAGCATAATGATATAAAACTCATATACTGGGGGCTGGAGAGATGGTTCAGCAGTTAAGAGCACTAACTGCTCTTGCAGAGGACCCAGGTCCGATTCCTAGCACCCCCATGGTGGCTACGAACCATCCTTAACTCCAGTTCCAGGGGACTCCAACACCCTCTTCTGACCTCCGTGGCATTGCATGACATGGGTACACTCACATACATGCAGGCAATACACTCATAGACATAAAATAAAAATAACAAAATATATATTTTTTAAAAAATTCATATACCACCCTTTGGGCCTGCAATAGTTTTGTTTTGTTTTGTTTCCTAAAATATGCCCAAACATACTCAAGTTTATAAATATAAAACTGATTTTTATACCTAAACAGCAACCACATAAGTTGCTCACAGGCTAAGGAAAGGGAGTTAAGAGGCTCTGTAGTCCCTATGGCTCTTTTTAAGATGTGTTCTAATTGGGTAGGGTATAAAGACATGAAAGGGGAAGAGTGGTTCGTAAAACAAAATAAAAAGACATGAATGTGGGAAAGAGATCTCTAGAGAGAAGGAGACATGACAATGATAGGGGGTGAGATGCCCTGTACCACCTTATCTAATCATGTGGATTCTAACCTAAGACGAAGAGGACATAAAGCCATTTTCTGTAACTCAATCTTCTAAATAAAAATAAAACAAAATCCTCTATTTGCCACAAACTTATTAAAGACCAAACATAAACAAACATCTTCTGTGTGCTAGAAGAGACACATGCTGCTTTGTCACTCAGCATGATTTCTTTCCCTTATTGTGACTCTGCTAGGGCTGGGATGGGGCGGAGGCACCCTCTACCCTATTAGTAATGTACTTCTGGTAAAGCCCACATTGGAGCACATGACTGTGAAAATTGTGATTGGTTGAGATTGGACACATAACTGAAGCTAAGTTCTTTTTTTTTTTGAGTCAGCATCTTGGACCATAGCCCAGGCTAGCTTCAAACTCTCAGTGATCCTCCTGCATCAGGCTACTGAGTGCTGGGATTACAAGCATGAGTGTTAATCTTATTGAAAACTCTATGAGCCCAGAGTCCCTACAGTGTGAAGGTGAAATTGCTGCAACCTTCTTACTGCCATAAAGGGAAAAACCCATCTGACAATAAAGCCAACTCAGAAGAAATGGAATCTAGAAACAGAGAAAGGGGATCCAAGTCTACAGAACATTAAGTGCCAATTTCAAATCATACCTTAACTACATTGACTTTGGGCTGGGTTTTCTTTCACTTTTATCCTAGTTAGTATTAAACAGGTAGATGTGGTAATAGCCAAATTATATAACCAGAAAATTAGGTCAACTCAGTACTTACTAATTATAATGTTTAAGTGCATAATTCATTCTATCAATAACCTAATAATGATATAAACATAAAAGATGAATCTGGCATATTTTAACACAGCATTTCACCTTCAATATCACCTTATACTGCCTGCATTTCGGATAAAAATCAGTATTTTGCTCTAGAAAACAGATGAAAATAAATACCTATAACTTTACTATAGAACACTTAAAAGCAAGAATAAGCAACTCAGAAATTAAGAGTTCGCATTGCATTGCATTAGATATTTAAAAAACAGAAAGCACACCAACAACACAAACAAATCAAATAAATAAACAAAACTCTAGCAAACTATCCAAAAACCATGTAAAGCGCCTCTTACCTGCAGCTGGAGAGTATGTCGAAGAATGGTTTCTTCTAAGGCGTGGATCCACTTTTCTCGTTCATCTGCATCACGAGCTGGAACAAAAGATTAGAGGTCACTTGTGCCATTCCTTAATAGGTTCACTTATCTAAGCACCCACTATCAAACAGATCCAGGATCTAAGCAGAATTCCAATCTAAGCAGAATTCCAGTCTAAGCAGAATTCCAATCTAAGCAGAATTCCAATCTACTTGCAGCAAATTATAACAAAGGAATAACAGTGCTTAGTAATAAGCAGATGGCATCTCAGATCAACCTCTCCACTGAGATCAACAAGAAGAGATAAATTGTTTTTAAGAATTGGTTCTATCAACAGATGAAAGGTTTTAAAATACGGTACAAATACACTTTAGAATACCATTCATCCATTAAACAAATTTTCTGAAATACTGTTATTTGTGGCTGCACAGATGGAGCTAAAGATCGTACATTAAGTGAAATAAGCCAGGCACAGAAAGACAAATACCATATGATCTCACTCACACCAAGATCCTAAAAAAAGCTGAGAGTAGAATGAGGGTTATGAGAGGCTGAGTAGAGGAGTGAAGGATGGGGAAGGAAGATCAGTGTCACAGTTACATATACAAGCTAGTTAGCTCTGGTAGCTCCTACACTATTGGATGACTATGGATACCAATAATGGACTGACTACCTTTCATAAAAGCTAGAAGGATTTTGAAAGGGTTTACCATAAAGAAGTGATTAGTGCTTGCTGATAGGTATACGTAGCCTGACTTAACACAACATTAATGAGTCAAAGCATGATACTAGCCCACATGTACAATTGGATGTTTTTAAGTGGCAGTTAAAAAATAAATTGTAACTCAGATTAATTTTTTAAAATTTATTTAAGTTGGGGCTGCAGAGATGCTCAGTAGTTAGGAGCATTCGCTGCTCTTGCAGAGGACCTGGGTACCCACGTGGTGGCTAACAACAGTCCTGAACTCCAGTTCTAGGAGATCCAACACCCTCTTCTGGCCTCTGCAGGACACAGGTGCACTTATGCACATGCAGGCAAAACACTCATACACATAAAAATATTTAAAAACTGGTTAAAAGCCAGGTGTGGTAGCACACGCCTGTAGTCCCAGCACTTGGGAGGCAGAGGTAGGTGGATCTCTGTAAGTTCAAGGCCAGCCTGGTCTACACAGTGAGTTCCAGGACAGCTGGGGCTACAGGGAGACCCTGTCTCAAAAAGATAAATTAAAAAAAAAAAAAAAACTGGTTAAAGTCATTACAAATCAATAAAGTAGTGAAGTCAAGATGTGTGAGAAAGAAAACATTAGGAAGAAAAGCCTGGTATTTAGGGCCGCTCTTTGCCTGGCAGCATTATAATAAATTCTAAGGGATTAGTTGTAAACTGGATGACACAATTAAAGACCTATCACTGTGTGCTAAGGGTATTTGAGAACTCTATTTTATGCTCAACTTTTCTAATGAACCTAAAAGTGTTTTCAAGACAAAAGTTGAAGATCGGGACCCATTAACAGAAGGGACTCTGGTTTAAAAAAAAAAGTCATGTTTCGACTGGGACCCCAAATGAACATGACTTTGGGGACAATAGAAGGAGACAGAGGCTAGAACAAATGCCCCACTGAGATAGGATAGAAAAACAGGGTGATTAAGGGCCTTAAGAAAAGAGAGGGTCCCATCATTTCCCTGGATCTTGTTTGCACTCATAGCTGGCTGAGTGTCAAGAATTTTGACAGTTAACCAAATTATCTTCAAAGGACAAGATACTCCCTTTCTTCAGAAAAAAAAAAAAAAAAAAACACCTCACAAACAAGATTATGAAACATGTTCACTGTCAAGATACATGCCTTGACCTCCTTGTGACCTACATTAAGTGAGACTTTTCTGAGGACATTTTACCAACAAGGCATGAATCAAAATCTGGTCTACATAGTGAGTTCCAGGCTGGTCAGGGCTACAAAATGAGACCCTCCCTGTCTCAAAAAAAAAAAGAAAAATGATGAAACATGTTTACAGTCAAAATGGCTTTATCTCCTTATGACCTATGTAAGAATTCCTCTGACCGGGTTTCAGTGGTTAAGAGCAATGGCTGCTCTTGCAGAGGACCCAGGTTCAGTTCCCAGCACTCACATGGCTGCTAACAACTGTCCTAACTCCAGTTCAAGGAGATCTGAGGCCCTCTTCTGACTTCCACGGGCATTGCTTGACATGAGTGCACTTACATGCAGGCAGGCAATACAGTCATACATATAAATTAAGAATAATAAATATTTTTAAAATGAATTCCTCTGACCTTTTCTGACCTATGCTTTTACATAATCAGCGCTCTTTTATCTATAAACCTACACAGCACACCTCATAAACCACCTTACAATCTTTCATTTACAAAAATCAATCAGAGAGCGTGTGAAGGTGGCAGGGGAAACGAGGGGTTCGGCCCGCTGCTGCCGTGGGTGCCACCGCCTAGTTACGCACCCGCGGCCTGAGGTGGCGGTGGGAAGTCGGCTGTGACATCACGGAGGGCGGCGGGGAAAGTGGCCAGAAGACCCCGGGCGGCTTAGCCCGGCTCTTCGGAGCAGGAGGAGCCGGCTACTCGCATGCCGCACAGATCTGGCCACTAACTGGTATGAGTCCCCTGTCTCCTTATTTAAATGCAGATCCACGGTACCTCATTCAGGATACTGATGAGTTTATTTTACCAACTGGAGCTAATGAAACCCAGGGCAGATTTGCACTAGCCTTCTTTACCGATGTTGCATGACCGGGGCCGCAAGTGGGGCAATGAATGGTCTTCGGCTAGGAGTGAAGGCAACCCAGAACATGACCTGGTCCAAACCAAGAAATGTACAAATTTTGAATATGGTGACTAGGCGAGGGGCACTTTGGGCTAATACTCTAGGTTCTTTGGCTTTGCCCCATGGTGCATTTGGTGTTATCATTGAGAAAACACGAGGTGCAGAAGATGAGCTCAACACAGTAGCAGCCGGAACCATGACGGACCTGTTGTATAAATGTACAGGTGGTTTTCGAGGAGTGGCACGAGGTGGTCCGGCAGGACTGACACTTACCAGCCTCTTCGCACTGTATAACAACTAGGCTCCTTGCATCAACAGTCACTGAGATTTTGCCGCCTCAGGAATGGGGGACATTTCATAGTCATCCAGATCAATTAATAAGTCAGTCTGGAGTTGCTTTCTCTCATTTACCTACAATTATTTTGAACAATTGGAGATTCTGATTTGCTGTGATGAAGATCGTGGATGGTTACTCAGGATCATACTACTTGCTTGCCCTTAGTGAGGTAGCTCAATGAGTAATGTGTTCTCTTCTCCTTTGGGGATGATCTTGTACCCTTTCTCTTTCCTACCCCCTAAACTGGAAAACCACTTACTCTCAGAATTCAGGCCATACTTATTTTCAACACTTTATCACCATGTTTATTCTTAAAAGTCTGAAACTAATGTTGCCCTGTATTCCAAATAAAGGGTGAAAATAGAAACAAAACAAAACAAAAACAAAAACAAAAATCCCAAAATCAATTAGATAAAACCCAAATAAATATACAATACATTTTAATCTTTTAAACTTAGCTACAGATTGCATCCTCTGAACAACATAAATTCAAAAGCCGCAAGAATCATACACAGCTACTGTTAAAGACGCTTCGGTGGGATCTGAAGAAGCCCACACTTCCTCCTAACTGTGTGCTATTGCTCTCCTCTCTCTCCAGCCCACACTTAAAGCATGCACTGGTGTTTTCGTAATAAACCCCAACTTTGTTTCATACTCACTCTTCCTGAAATCTGTTCCTGAGGCTTAAGTCAAGATCGTGAGTCACCTGATTAGAGGTTCCTGAAAGAACTCAGGCTGCACAGCTGACAAATTCAAGTTGCACTGCTGGTGACACTATCTGCTGAGAATTTTCCAATATGGATGGAAGATATTATGCCACAGCTTTCAGATGCCCCAGACAGATTATTCACTACAGCATTTTTTTTGTTGTTTTTTGGTCTTTTTGAGACAGGGTCTCCCTGTAGCCCCAGCTGTCCTGGAGCTCACTATGTAGACCAGGCTGGCCTCGAACTCACAAAGATCTGCCTGCCTTTGCCTCCTGAGTGCTGGGATTAAAGGCGTGCGCCACCACACCCGGCAACATCATTTTTTAAATTTTTATTTATTATTTTTATTTTATGTGTATTGCCTGCATGTATTTGCATGTAGGTAGGTATTGTGCAATGCCCGTGGATGTCAGAAGAGGGCATTGGATTCCCAGGAACTGGAGTTACAGATGGCTGTGAGCCGCCATGTGGATGCTGGGAATCAAACCCAGGTCCTCTGCAAGAGCAGCCAATGCTCTTAACCACTGAGCCATCTCTTCAGCCTCCAAGCTATAGGTCACGAGTTACA